AAAAAACATTTTCAATTTATTTCTGAGTATATTTTTGGATCTCAGTAGTGGAGTTCATAACTAAAATAGTTTTAGCGTAATCAGCAATGTTCCCATTAAAACGTCACACGGACGGATGTTCTATGAAATGTTATATAATTGTTCACTGATTTTTAGAAGAAAAAGTGAAAAGTAAAAATGAAAGCAATTTATCACCTTCGGTTAAATATTTATCATTACTCAACAATAAGACAGTATTCGCTAAATTGGATAATTATCGTAGAAAAATGAATAGCACGTATTCACCAGACACGAGAAAAATAAACATACCAAATAACAATGTTTTTGAGTCGTTCCATTGTTGTTATGTTTTATTTGTTGTCAAACATTTTCAAACTCTTCTCAAAATTGAAAGGAATAAGATTGCGTTATCAAACTTTTGAAGTGGTGGGTAAACTTTCTATAGATTTCTATAGAGCTTAACAGCTTTATTTTAGTGAGTTTAACATATTTTTGTCCCCAAGACAAGTAACATTGTGAATCCATTTATGTACTTCAACCCGTTTTTTTTTAAAGATAACAGTGGTCTTTAAGGAACGAGAAGAAAAGTACATGCATATATTAAACGGTATAGGAAAGGAATTTTAGGTTTCTAAAATTATTGTACTATTATAGAATTTTACTATAATGTAATCAAATCGCTCGAACAAACCCAGCTACTCTTACTATTTCGAATAATGTACCTTTTGAGCATTGTAGCTTTTTACACTGAAGAGAAATATATTCTTGCAGCTCCATTAGTGCTTCGTAGTAAGCCCGGAAGAATCTTCGTATTGCGAAACTTATTTCAGAAATAAATGAAAATGTTGAATTTAGTATCATAAACATTATTGGCCTTTTTTACTATAAAAACGTACGATTCAATAAACCGAACACATCTCTAGTACAAACTATTGTTGCATGATATTGACGGTAAATGGTTAGAAATAATCTATGATATGTATGATAAGGTAAAATCGTGTGTTAAAGTAAATAAAAGGTGTAGTCATACTGGTGTCCGTCAAGGTGAAAAATTGTCACGATATTGTTTCTATATTCCTAAACGATTTAAAACATGATAAAGAAGATCAACGAGGAAAGGCGGCGTTCAATTTTTGTCTTTAAACATGGACTACTATATCTAGAGCAACAGTTAATTATCTAAGTAACGATACCGTTGATGTTTACTTAACACTATACCTGTTTCTGTATGATTCCATTTCATTAGCTGAATGCAAGTTAGATCTACAAAATTGTTCTAATAACATGTATGATTATTGTATGTTATGTGATCTAAATGTGAATGAAGATAAGACGAAAATAGTAGTTTTAGTTCACATAAGCCTTTAATACAATCATTATGGTAAACACTTGGAAACAGTAGATGGTTTCATATACTTAGGTTTAATTATATATACTTACTTTAATTTATGTGATAAATTTGGAAAAAATATGCCAAAACTTGTTTAGTCTACAAGAGCTATGCTTTCCGCTATTAAAAAGGCTTGTATTTGCCCATATCTGTTCAATTACATTTGTTTAAAGCAGAACACCTCCAGAAGAGAACAGAAAAACTACCGTCTTACTAATCGATCCACGGGAGATGCTTTGTTAGTTTAGCGCGGAAGAAGGTAGTCTAGTACTGGTGTAACTCTCCAGGAACGATGGTTAGGAAACTACCCGCCTATATGACTGAAATACTGTTGGAAAAAGGCGTAAAATGAAAAAAAAAACCAAAAAAAACCCCCAACTAATATTTCTAAATCTCTCTTCACAAAACATTATATACTTAAAGAAATAGAACTGACACTTTAAAATGTTCATAACTGATAGTGTTCGCTTTTCCACCGACGGTATATTCGTAATACTATTTTATTTTATCATCCTGTTTTTTCTAGTACCTGTGATCTTAAACGTATTGAATCTTGGATCGTAGATCACACAAAGAGGGAAACTGATTTCGATATTTGTAGTTATTTGTGGCACTAAAAATAGACCAGTATTTACCGTTTACTTGAAATTTTATTACATTTTATGCTCCCCGACGGGAGAGCATATAGTCGACGCTTTGTCCGTCCGTCCAGATGTCTGTACAAACCAGAGCTACATTATGGGGTTTGGTCTATTGTTCTCATAACAGTAGATGTCTTTGCCGCATTCATTTCGTTTCTCTTGTGGGGTTATTTTTTGCATTGTGGGGTTAAAAAGAACAAAAGAAATAACAAAAGAAAACCCCATAATGTAGCTCTGGTAAGAACGTCCGTCCATCCGTATGCCGCTTTTCTTGTCCGAGACAGAACTCTGAAACTACAAGAGGTATCAACAGGAAACTTTGTGGGTAGAAATATCTCATTGAGTAACAATGCAATGCCAACGAACCGTAATTTTGCCTTGCCTAATTTTGGAGATATTGCCCTTTGTTCATTTATACACTTAAAACTTTGTCCAGGAAATAACTCTGAAACTACAAGAGTTATCATCAAGAAACTTTGTATCATTAAGTAGAAATGAATGCATAAAAACGGTAAGCCTGCCTTGTCTAGATTTATTGCCTTTATTCATATTTTCACCATGAGAATCAATAACAACTAGTTTCTTTGTGTCCCAAACCTGTAACCGTCCGGTAAGCTCCAAAGGTAGAGCGTTGGATTGTGAATCGGGCGACCCGGGTTTGATTCCCGGACGGTGCAGGTCACTTTCATTGCAATTGATCATGAAATCTTTTTCTACGATCATTCATACTGTGCCTCTGCTCAGGTATGTACAGAAGTTTCAGTTCCTTTTGAAAGTGAAGGTAACTAGTACTGGTAGACTGCTTGACAGCCCGCCCAGGAACAATGCGGTGGTTGAACTATGCTCTAGTGAATTTAATGTGGCTTACTGTCCTGATCCGGAATGAAAACTACAAACAACACCGCCACTCCAAAACCTGTTCGGGGGTCATCACCCGGTTCAACTGGCTCTTGGTTTTTTTTCCATTACAGGTGTATGGCTGTAATACTTAAGTACGTATTATATAATTGTGAGGTTTGAGGTATAGAAAATTTACAAAATCTTGAACTACTGCAATTACGTTTTTGTAAACTCTTACTTAATCAGAAAATGTCTATCTGGTGGAACAGGTCTTTGCCCTATATATTAGAACTGCAGGTTTAAACAAGAATATTGTTTTACTGGAATAAGTTAGTAACTTAAAGTAAGATAAAATATGTAAAACATTGTATAATACAGTTCTCTCTTTACATGTCAATAATGCTATGATCACTCCTTGGATCTCATTTGTTAAAAACACTCTTGATGAGCTAGGTTTATTAGTCTATATTTTGATAGTCAATGTATTTGTAATTTAAATAATTGTAAAGCTATTGTGAGAAAAAGAAACAGATTAAAAGACCAGTTCTTACAGAATTGAAAACGTACCATGAATTAATATTCTAAATGTTCGATTTATTGCGTGTATAAGAAAGATTTTTGTTTTGAGGAATATTAAGATATATTACCTTTCAATTTTTGAAAAATACTTTGTTAAGTTCAGAACTATGTACCATTTATTACCAATATAAAAGGTTGACATTTATATATTGAAAGAACATGCCATTTATGCCCGCAACAATCTCTTGGGGATGAATTTCATTACTTGTTTGAATGTATCTTTTTTTAAAATTTTATTCGCGAGAAGTTTATTGTTTCAAAATTCTCAAATCATCTTCAATTTTTAATGAAAAGCTCTGACCACTTAATCATGTTAATTTTATAAAAACTAGCATTATTCTGCAAAATTATTATTTCAAATAATTTATTCTCCTGTATGGCATGATTTTCTCTTTTTGTTACTTTTGTAGGGTAACATACCATGAATAAAAATCTAGATGGTATTTATGTAAGACAAATTATATCCAAAGTACAGATAAATCAAATACTTGTTTGTGATAGTAAAAATGTTCTTCTTCTTTATATAATTCTATTTGAAAATGTTTTGTACATCAATTTTTGAATAAGTGTTGAATCGATTTTTTAAAAAGTTTTATTTATCAAATGATGCTGACCTTTTTATACCCCTATGCATATTATATGCCTTGATTTTGAATAAAATATAATCTAATCTAATATTCCACAAAGCACCCTAAGCAGGTAACTCGGAAAACGCCTCGGTTGACATCGCTTGTTTTGGGTGAAAATTGCGGTTGGATGAGATCAAACCAAGCCTGCAACATTTTCAATTTTGCAGTGTTGGGCCTTCTTTAGGGATTCTGTATATCTCTATTTTATATACACTAACAAGTCTTGATGGTAAATGGGAATTTTCTTTTACTTTTTTAACATAACGCGGAAAGAACTCAGCCGCAGCGAGACTAAAACAATTTCAATTTTTGCCGTTTTAGGATATTCCCTTTTCTCTATGTTATGATTGAAATAGATTCATAAGTTGAAAATTGCTGAGAGATGCTTGGCAAACGCCTCGGTTGACATGACTTGTTTCTGTATGGCATAATTCACTTAGCATGTTTTGTTACTTCTGTATGGTTCTATTTCTATTAACATAACATTAAAGGTAATCTTGATGGCATTTATGTAAGACAAAATATGTCCAAAATGAGAACGGAACAAGGATGGGATTGGATCTGGTCCCCAAGCATCTGCTGTTATTTTGGAGGATCCAGGTCTATTTGCTTGCTTAATTTTCATTACAGAACACGCTTAAACTTGGTTTGAAGCAAATACAAAAACAACCAAAGCTAAACAAAACTGCCGGCCTTTTAATATATGCTCATTGTTGCTATGCCTTAACCCGATTTAAATTTACTTACATATGGTGATCATAATTATGAAAATGGGCATTGCCGTTTCATACAAAAATGATTAAGTGAATAAAAAATAATCAAATGAGAGCAACATTCACGAAACGCAGTCCCAAACAACACCAAGCCTTACAGAACCATCAGCGAGACACCCAGGAGGATAATAAACAAGGGGGGTACAAACACAATTTAAGTTTTATTAATGATTTATATTACATGTATTATGTCATAAACGATTTGTTTCGACATTAAAAGCAGTCATGCTTTGAGATATGTTGCTATAGGACATATATTACAAACACTTTCTTTCCGAATGTCCTAGTGATAACATAAAAGATTAAATGCTCTGCTCAGAAAATACCTGAAAAGGACAGAAAAGAAGACACACCTGTTACAGGATACAATAACTTAAACAGTACTACAGCATATTATTTTGTATATAAATCGCCTGTTCGTTTAGAACACCCATAGAAACATGATAAGAGCTGATATGACAGGAAATGAGACGCTGAATCCAGACGCACTGTTACACAAATCTGATGTACACCAACATGAATAAGCATCGGTAGCCAATTCTTTACACTGGTCGCCTTCATTGTATGATGAACAAGCTCTGACCGCAGCTGTAAAATGATAAAATAAAGTCTAACAAGGATATAGATATAAAAAAAATGCGGATGAAAAAAGAAAATGCCCCTTTTATCTCACCTTAGAAAGAAATGAAATTAACTAAGCCAAAATATAACAAATGAGCATGTTTGATTCACATTGGCAAATACATATTAATATTATAATATTCTATTAACAAAAGAAATTTAATTTATATTTATCATTATTTAATTATTATGCTTCACTTACAACATATACATGAAATGAGATTGTGTTTGGAATGTATGATTATGAATTGATGTTAACCATGATTTCTCGAAATTTTTCTGTAAGAAGTTGATTTTATTTTGTTTGAAGGCAATCGGTTTTATAAAATAATGACTTTGTTCATTTTACTACTGTTTTGTATGTTCCAAAGAAAATACATTTTTAAATATTCTTATCTCTAGCAAACCTGACAAAGTTCATGATAAATAATGTCTTTTGTCCTCACATTCAGTCATGATATACAATTCTGGTAAAATCCAATTAACCATTGAAAACTCTAATAGTTCATCGTCATTTACTGCAATTCTTGCTTGGACGCCTTTGATGTTTTTCATCAATATTTTTCTTGTAATATGATGATACACATTTGCCGCAAAACGTGCAAAGGACATTTTGAAAAGTAAAGTCCATGCAAGTTTTTGTTCTGGCTTACATAAAGATTTCTAGCTCACGAGAATCGAAGGTTCAGGGTAGGCTATTAGTATTATAGTGAGATGCTCCGGCGTCCGTCGTCATGCGTCAACAATCGTCTACTTCTCTGAACATGACGTCTATTTCTACAGAACTAATTGATGGATGATAACCAAAATTTGTCTGTAGCATTCTTGAATAGTCTTTTATCAAATTTGAAAGCATATTTTAAAAAAATTAATATCTGGTCCCTCTCTCATGGAAAGTGCATACGATATCATTATGCAAAAAATGATTTACAAAACATCCGGAATGATGTACAATAGCACTTAATCTGAATAGAACATGACCTGTGCGTAGGAATGATATAGGAAGGTATCTGTAATGAGCGCATTTTTTGCGCGGAGCTTCTCAATTGCTGCATTGCAGCAACATTTTGAACTTGTCATTTTCATAGTTTTCAGTTCTGAGTGTGTCTTAGTTGATCTTTGTGTAGGCTGTTAAGCATATTGGGGCAATGTGACATGTGCAAGATTAAGGTCCAATCCATATCTGTTTTGCCATTAAGTGGCAGATTTTGTAATAATGTTGGTTTAAACATATTTATTTAAGCTCGATTGCGAAACAAGTTCTTGCAACTTATATTAATCACTTTCGAGTCTGCCTCCTGGAATCAACCAGTACTGGTGTCATATGAAGAAACATGGTCGTTGCATATGGTACTTGAAAACAATTTATGATGTGTGAGAAAAATTTGTAGCTTAAAGGACAAGGTCACATTAGATTTAAGATTAATAGTTTTGAAATAAATAAGCTTACTTTGTTGCACTTAAGGAAAACTTGTCTGGAACACAGAAACGAAATGATGACAGAAAGTTAACGGTTGTACTTGAATGTCAAGAAAATACATTGATAATTATGTCTGGTTATGTCTTCATTGATGTTGTTTTGTGTCGCCTTGAAAAAGGCGACATATAGGGTTTAGTTTTGTTGGCGGCGTCGGCGTCCCCCTAAGCTTCTCCAGAGCATAAGTCAGTCATTATAAGTCAGATTGACTTCAAACGTTGTATGCATGCTTTTTATAATGACCCAAAGTGCAATGCACATGAACCAGTACTCTGCATTTCTTATTTTTTGAGTTATTGCCCTTTGTTAATTTTCATACTTTATTTTTGTCCAGGCCATTCCTTCTTAAGTATAAAAGCTATGGTCTTTAAACTTCATAGGATGATAGATCTCATTAAGAAAAAGTGCAGTGTACAAGAACCGGTACTCTGCACTTCTATTTTTGAGTTATTACCCTTTATTAATTGGCGTACTTTATTTTTGTCCAGGCCATTTCTCCTAAAGTATAAAAGCTATGGTCTTTAAACTTCATAGGATGATAGATCTCATTAAAAAATAGTGCAGTGTACAAGAACCGGTACTCTGCAATTCTAATTTTAAAATAATTACCCTTTGTAAATTTGCATACTTTATTTTTGTCCAGGCCACTTCTCATAAATTATAAAAGCTATAGACTTGAAACTTCATAGGATGATAGATCTTATTAGTAAGAAGTGCAAGGTACAGAAACTGCTGCTTTGCACTTGTTACTTTTTGAGTTATTGGTAATTTTCATATTTCATTTTTGTCCTGGCCACTCCCCTAAACTATATTGTTCACAAGGTGACACATCCGACTCGAGTTCTAGTTGATATAAACACCCTGGGAATATTAAAAAGTATTTGTGTTTGTATTCTTGTAACACTCTATTTATAGTAACCATGCATTAAATTAATTTGTTGAAAGTCAAAGGTCTTGGTTACCTGACTGAGACCTGCCTGGGATTGGGTGCAATGTGTCTGTTTCCAACGACATGGATTGTTTATCTTTATATCACTTACCACCTTTAAATGTGCCCTTAAAACATGATCCCGCACACGTTTCTATTGAGACGGCGCTATCTTTTTCATTGAATGGGTCATTGCAGCCCACACACTGGTAACATTTTAAAGACTGTACGCTTATTACTGAAACATAAAGAATAAATATTATAAAAAATATACATGGTCATCGTTAACCTGGTGTTGACGTCACTGGGTATTTTCAATGAGTTCAAAATATTTTTTCAATTCAGGAATATTAGCAATGTAAAGAAATGACAGCGAAATGACATGCTCAAATATTCTTTTTGAAAGCGTTTCTATTATAAAATTTGGGATTGACTTTGTAATGGACAGAAACTGAACTTATACTTTTTTATTCATGGCAGGCACTTACGTATGAATTAAAAGCTTCATGATAACCACCGTATGAAAACATTTGCATTTGTTTCAAATGTTGAATTCTGCGTAAGCCGGTGCAAAAGTATGCGGACGGTTACTTGTACTTGTCAGTACCGTCCAAGAATAGGCTCAATCAAACAGAGCAGAAAGCTCAGTATTATCAGTATTTTACATACAAAATATTACAAAATATTAACATACAAAATTAAAGATTAATATTTTAAAATTTAACAGAAAAAAGAACAAAAGCAAAATACTGATTAAAACGGCGGCTACAATGATAAAACTTCTAGGTAAGTAAAACAATAAGTGTATAAGTATAAATCTAATTGCATTGTTAATCAATCGCTTACATATATACAAATGCTTCGTCAAAAGTATAGCATTTAAGCATTGAAATTAATGCAACTGTATATTTATTGTACACGGAAAACTTAGATTTGTAAACATCGTTATTACTGAAACAATATAAAATATCATACCTTACAAAAATTAAACGTCGTGTATTTGCAAGGGATATAAAATAAAACGCGCAATACCAACAGTTTTTAGTATAATTTACTAGAAGTTTTGTTACACAATCTGACTTCCTTCCAAGTTGAACCTTTACTATTATATCTCTATAATTCTATGAGGAACTGTTTTGTTTTATTTCATGATTAACGATGCATAAACTGTAATGTAAAATTATATATGTATTTAAACAATAATCATATTAAAAACAAAGAAGTAATAGAAAGATTTGTACGAGGGGGTGTATCATAGGCAAAAAAAAACACGTTCCCTGTTGTCACAACATGAACTCCCGTGCCCCCCAACCCCCCCCCCCCCCAAAAAAAAAACAAGAAAAAAACACAACGAAACCAATGAATAAGCTGAATAATAATATTCCTATCGTTATCCATCCCTCTCTGTCGTCACAAAAAGTAAACTAAAAAAAAGTTTACAAAAATGAGCCAATCAATGGGCATGCTCTGGAGTGCGGGTAACTATTAACTGAACTCCATTTAACGCACTTTGCATGTATATGTATACGATTTAACTATGACACATTTTCAACTAAAAGGTCTCCAAATTATGATACAATAATTAAATTACTCACCAGTCAAAAGAAATATCAAAATACCAAACAGCAATGCATTTGAACTGTTCATTTTGAACAATTTCGAAAAAAATAAATTATTATGAATTACTGATAATTTTTATAGATAAACCTTCTTTAACACTGTCCAGACCTCAACTGAGCAAAATTTCATGCTCAGGCTAATCGGACTACTTTAATTAAGATGTAAACCGACCTCATTTCTTCGAAATTAAGCTTTTATCTTTTACGCGGATGTGTTATGTTATTGAATGATAAAGGTATTATTTGTATGATACAGAATGAACAGTTACCTTTATCTGACACCATTTTATAAAACTTACACGACCATGACAACGACATGTTATGATATATAGGCTTTTAATAAATCAATCATCAGTATGAATCACAATATAATTGTAATAAATATAAAAGGAAAGACATCATCCTTTAAATCACCAAAGAAAGTAATCAATTTTTTAAAAAATCTTTTTCATTTTAAGCAAGGACCCTAGAAATTCCCAAAGTCATCAATGACTTAAGAAACAGTTCAATGTATTGTATAATACCAGAGTAATGTTAGTTTAGTAAATAATGCCAAACTTTATATCAGAAAATTGCAGAACATCTCTTTTAGAATTAACTGAGCAACATTTTTGTTTTTTATTCTTAGTAATGTGAATAATGTGTTTGTTTGTATGTTGTTGTTGTTGTTTTTTACGAACAACATATGTTTTGCAACATTTAAGGTTTTAATTTTGATGTGATCCTGAAATCAACTCGTATGATTTTGGATTAATAACAATTTGAAGATTGATAGTTTCTTGACTTCTATTGAAATGTGTATATTTTTGCACACAGAAATGGCGTCTATTTAATGTATAAAGAGACAGATAAAACATTTCCAGGTATCTTGATTATCAACAGTCCGTTAATCGGACCTCACATTTCTCACTCCAGTGATGTTACAATATGAGTCTAAAGATCAACAAGTGTGTGCAATGTCCACGAAAGTCTAGGCGTAACACTACTCACAGGGCACACCTACAGCTTTATCATGGTATAGGATAGCGGTGAATTGACAAAATCAATACAAGGACCCAATGATATTTTCGTAAAATTATTTTTAATCTACTTACCTTTATCTATCCCCTTTTGAAGTGGAAATCCTGCTGATGAAGGACGTAGATTGATAACACTTGAAAATTTAAGTGATGCAGAATCATAATATCAAATGATATTGCTGATTTTTATATAGAGCAATATTATTCAAAGTAAGTAGATATACTGCTGCTAAACATTCCAAAAACTATTTAGGCAGTGACACAATTGTGTTTATTTTGACAACGTCGTTTTCGTGATCAATATCACGAATTACATGTGTTTTATCTAGTAAGACTTTTTCACAATTATTTCATCTGTTATTGTGTCATGGTTATTTCCTATAATGTTTAAGTTGTTGTATATTTTTAAAGTGTTTGTTTGCTTTTCTTATATTGTTAAACATAAAATTTTCGATCATGAACATTTTGTAAAACAAAGAAGGAAAATAACTTCTTTCTACTAGTTTCAAATTGTTGATATGTAACGTAGAAAAACCGAGAAAAGTAATCGAATTAAATTCGATTACACAGCATTTAAGGGCCAGGTCGTGAATGTGTGAAAAATCATTTTGGCATAATTATCTCTTCTTAACAAAAAAAGATTACACTACCGCAGCAGTAATTTGATCAACCTTTTGTTTCAACACTTTGTGTTTTGCGGTTATCTTTTATATATTTAGCGTTATTTGGCTAACGTCATTTAACCGGTTTAGGTGACCTGTGACAATTGAGTTTGGCTTTGTCTTATTAAGACAGGGTTGCAAAAACCAATTACCCGTCCGACACATTATAGTGGCTCGTCGAATGTTGAAGAAGCAGTTCTTGATTTGTACTTGTATGGGCTTACTTATCGCTTTTTATTCGCATGTTACGGAGGCTTTGGGCCGTGAAAGTAGCTCTTTCTTGTTCACATTTGCACATATACTTTACCTATCGTATATAAAGAAAACATCTGTTTTGAGAAAGCTTGATTATTTCTAGAGAGAGTATCAAAATCTATGTTTCATTGCTAAGATATGGTTCCCTCATTTTTAAAATGATATTGACGAGTTATGCTAACTACGTTGTCAGTTCAAGCCACTTCTAAAGTTTGTTAGCTCACTCATTGTTTTGTTCGTTTGCAGAAAACGTACTGTGCTTGAGCAAATACAGCCCGTTTCTTACGAAATTGTGAAACAAAGTTACTTGAGCATCGCTTTCTTAACACAGTATCGTACTGTAATAGATTCAAAACTATTAATCCTTCAATTGAATCTATTTCCGAAACGTAAAAATAGGTATCAAAAATGCATACACGTATATTTGAAAATAACTGCCGTAAACCCGCTTTTATCGGATATCACTCGAGATTGTACCGAAAGTAGTTACTATAAACATTCCTTTCAGGGAAATGTTCAAATCGAAAACACTTGAACAAAACACGTTGATTCATGTGCGGGTCAAAGATAACATGAGATTTAACTGATGAACGCTACAGGACGTGGACATTTGTTCACTATCAAGTATGTTTTAATTAAATACCTAATGTTTTTTTTTCGGTGCTCTCCTAGGTATTTCTCAGGTGGTTCTGTATGGCTTGATGCTTGTAGATGCGTTCATTTAACATGACCTTTGTTTTCAAATCCTTTAGTGTTGAATCGATTTTTTAAAAATTGTTATTTATCAAATGATGCTGACCTTTTTATACCCCTATGCATATCATATGCCTTGATTTTGAATAAAATATAATCTAATCTAATATTCCACAGATCACCCTAAGCAGGTAACTCGGAAAACGTCTCGGTTGACATCGCTTGTTTTGGGTGAAAATTGCGGTTGGATGAGATCAAATCAAGCCTGCAACATTTTCAATTTTGCAGTGTTGGGCCTTCTTTAGGGATTCTGTATGTCTCTATTTTATATATACTAACAAGTCTTGATGGTAAATGGGAATTTTCTTTTACTTTTTTAACATAACGCGGAAAGAACTCAGCCACAGCGAGACTTTAACAATTTAAATTTTTGCCGTTTTAGGATATTCCTTTTTTCTCTATGTTATGATTGAAATAGATTCATAAATTGCTGAGAGATGCTTGGCAAACGCCTCGGTTGACATGACTTGTTTCTGTATGGCATAATTCACTTAGCATGTTTTGTTACTTCTGTATGGTTCTATTTCTATTAACATAAACATTAAAGGTAATCTTGATGGCATTTATGTAAGACAAAAATATGTCCAAAAAATGAGAACGGAACAAGGATGGGATTGGATCTGGTCCCCAAGCATCTGCTGTAATTTTGGAGGATCCAGGTCTATTTGCTTGCTTAATTTTCATTACAGAACACGCTTAAACTTGGTTTGAAGCAAAAACAAAAACAACCAAAACTAAACAAAACTGCCGGCCTTTGAATATATGCACATTGTTGAAATGCCTTAACCCGATTTAAATTTACTTACATATGGTGATCATAATTATGAAAATGGACATTGCCGTTTCATACAAAAATTATTAAGTGAATAAAACAAATAATCAAATTAGAGCACCATTCACGAAACGCAGTCCCAAACAACACCAAGCCTTACAGAACCATCCGTGAGACACCCAGGAGGGTAATAAAAAAGAAGGAGGGTACAAACATATTTTTAAATTTTATTAATGATTAATGTTATGTCAAGAACGGTTTTTTAAATATTAAAAGCAGTCATGATTTGAAATATGTTGCTATAGGTAGCATATATTACAAACACTTCCTTCCCAAATGTCCTAGTTGCAAAGATTAAATGCTCTGGTCAGAAAGTTCCTGAAAAGGACTGAAAAGAAGACACATCTGTTATAGGAAAAAATTCCTTCAACTATGGAAGCATAAACCTGCCCTTTTAACTTGTGTCTTATGACTTTTGACTTGTGACTTGTGACTTATGACTTGTGACTTGTGACTTTTGACTTGTCTGTTGAACATGATAATTCGGCGCGTTTTTGAATGAAATATGGCAGACACGAGTTTTTACATAGAATATTTTTGTTCATTGAATTGTATCAGTTAATTTTAATATAATCTACATTTTAAGTACTTTTCTCGATTTGTTATAGATTGCGTTTGTTTAATTTAAATGTTGTGACAGTGCGTCTGATCATCTTTCCTATAAAGTACCTATGAGAGTGTAACCTTTAGTTAACTATTGCTAAACAGATTCAGATTTATGTAAACTACTAGATTTCTTCACAAGGTGCATGCACAATTTATAGATATTCATGTAACTAAGCTTTGGGTGTGTAGTTTTTTTCTTCAAACGTACACACTGCATACAACTTATTTAAAACAACATTTATTTTACATGTAGTAACATAAGCTTATGTAATTCAATTTGTTATCGTTGTTGTTTGTCATTGTTTTGATTATCGTATGTAGTTTAATAATAATTGAAATAACTTTTTGGATTTTATGTTGATAGTGAAATAGAGTAAATATCAGCAAAATCTTAGTAAAGAGGAGAGACAATGGTATATGTCCTTATTTTGGAAAGAAGGGAGGTGTAGTTGTATGGGTCGTTGTAAGGTCCAATAAAACGAGGGTAGTTCGAAAAGTGTTGTAACTCGACTTTTTTCTGGAAAACTATTAGAGGATGAGATGTTATAAAAAGTTTTATTGTATTTGCTAGTCATTTATCTTCCTGCTTTACAACCATATAATGTTGCGAAAATCAATGCACGATGCATATCAGCAATACATATCAGTAGTGGGTATGGTTTATATACTGGGCAAAAAATCGAATGGTTATCTGCAAGATTTAAGAAAGAAAAAAATACGTAGTCTTCAACAGAAAGATCATTCTTTAATGTGCAAAAACAAATCTTTATAATATCTTTATTGGTTTTCCAGAAAGTGGTCATGTGGCAATAATTTTCGAACATCTCTTGCTTTGTTTTTGTGTTCCTTCTATAGTTTAAAAAAATGAAACAATCAGTTTCAGAAATAAAGTGAAATCTTTGAGGTCTTTTTCTTTGCAACCAAAAACACCTTTGCATGTACCTCATTGAGGAAGTTGCATGCCAATGTGAGACATACTACTTTCAATAATGCCGTGCCAACATGAC